CCCCCCCCGATGCCCTGGCGGAAAGAAACTCTGGAAAGTCAGTAGGTCAGTGTGAGTGTGTGTGGGTGCGTGTGGTACGCATGTGTGTGCATGTACACATGAATCGTGTGTGCATGTACACATGCAGGTGTGGGTGTGTGCATGTGCATGTGCAAGTGTGTGTGTGTGAGTGTGTGTGGGTGTGCCTGTGCACATAGAGATGTGTGGGGGAGGTGCATGTGCACATGCATGTCTATGTACCTATGAGTGTGTGCATGTGTGTACACAAATATTCAAAGACACACACATGAAGGGTGTGACAGTGACTTAGATGGGGGATGGGTGCTAACCTGGAAGATCTTGGGGCCATTTATTGTGGAAGCTCCATCTGCAGGCACCATCTCCTTATCAACTATGCCTAATCCTTCCCCAAAATTTGGCATATGTATCCCAGGAAGACATTATTTTTCACAGTAAGCTGATTCATAATTAGACTTATGTGTAAATTTTTAGAATTTCTCCGTGGGTTTTTTTTTTTACTCCTTTATGATCCGAATTTTGTTTGCTTTCAAAAGAATACTTCCTTTTATTTTAACTAAAAAGAAGAAATTGTTTTTTCTTTTTAAGAATGACAGTCTATCGAGGATTTTATGTTGTAAAATCAAAACTGAACCCACCAGAATGGCTAGAATCAAAAAGACAGAATAACAAGTGTTGGTGAGGATGTGGAGAAATTCGAACCCTCATACACTGCTGGTGGGAATATAAAATTGGTGCAGCCACTTTGGAAAACAATGGCAGTTCCTCAAATGATAATATGGAGTGATCATATGGCCCAACAACCCCATTCCTGGGAATATAACCCGGAGAAATGAAACCACATGTCCACACAAAAACTCACACATGCAAGTTAACAGCATAATTCACAACAGCCAAAAGTGGAAACAACCCAAATGTCCACCAACAGATGAATGGATAAACAAAGTGTGGTCCAACCATACAAAGGAATATTACCAGCCACATAAAGAAATCAACCCCTGACGCATGCTACAATGTGGATGAGCCTGGAAAACATTATGTTAAGTGAAAAAAGCCAGGCCCAAAAGGCCACATAGTGTAGGATTCCATTTACATGAAATGCCCAGAATAGACAAATCTGTAAAGACAGAAAGCAGATTGGTGGTTGCCAGGGGCTGGGTAGCAGGGTGTTGGTGGGAAATGGGGACACTTCAAGGGAATGGGTTTCTTTTTAGGGAGATGAAAATGTTCTAAAATTGATTGTGGTGATGGCTGTACAACTCTAAATATACTGAAAACCATAGAATTGTACATTTTAAATGGGTAAATTACAAGGTATGTGAACTGTATCTCAATAAAGCTTCTTAAG